ACACAAACTTTAAAACTTTAGTCACAAAACAAAATCCGAGTTATTATGCTAACAAACGCTTCAAAAGTCAGGAAACTACCCTTCAGTGTGAGTTAAGTAAGCATATAAAGTTTTGTTAAATATCTCAACAATTTTAAGGATTGCTTTTTTCTCCTTTCATTTTCTAGTATGGAAATGCTTGGGACACAAATTCCTTATTCCAGCGCAATTTAGAAACAAATGTCCTTCGAATTTTCATTCTTAAATCATGGTTAAATAAGCGGCAGCAGTCTGTTCAGACGATTTACCGTAAAGTTTAGGGTAAAAGACATTTTTCACCCCTACGCTTTTGAAACCGTTTACAAGTAGTATGTTTATAAGACAATGAAATCAAAACTATACGGTTTTTTAACCATTTACTACTAACATGGCTTCAAAACCATGAAAAAGAAATTTCACTAGACTTAGAAAATAGCATTTTCGTTAGATAATGGGTGATGGGGAGTGCAAGAACGCTTCATATGTTGAAGAAAATGGAGCTAATATTGTGATGTAAAAGCTAGGTCGGTCATGAGATTGAGAAATTACCCTTATCGGCTATAATATGTACGCAATTGCAAGGATTTAAGTGGCTTCATAAGGCAGCCTTAGTTTCTGGTTGTTTAACCGTATTAAGTTAAGGCAGCTAATAAACGATTTTTCTCACAGTTAATAGTTTGACTACCATCTTATTTATGGTTATTTCACTGTTTTGTTTGATCATGGTAAAATAACAATTAAATAATTTGTTCTTTCACCTTTTTTTCCTATAAATTTATAACATTGCACAAGCTGAAATGGTTAAGTAAGACTTTAGCTCTTTCAAAATGCATCATGATGGAAAAAATAATACTTCCATATTTCTGAACCACCTTCCATACAGGATATTTCTGAACCACCTAACTTAACTCAATTATTTACTTATTTCCAAACTTCTCCCGAATAGTTAATAACTCACGTAATTCTACAGTTTATTAAAATAATAAAAAGAAACAAGTTATTATTGTGCTCGTCCATCTTTACCAAAATTACTTCATTACCAAGATTAAATATTTAATTTCTATACATGGCAACAAAAAAAATACTCTTGTAAAATTACCGTACGGATTATATTAACATTTCTGGTAAAAGAAAATCATAATTCTGGTTAATAAAATCAAAATACACGGTATTTAAACCTTTCACTTGGTCTCTTTTCCGTTTGTGTAGTAACGATTTACCAAAAATTCTCGTTCTCAATATTATAGTTCTTATTACCACACATTTAGTAAAAAATACAAAACTGAAACATTGACTGAATAAATGGTTCTTATGCCATGATGTATACGATCTCATAATAAAATTACCAAATATTACCACATTTACTAATTTCTATCACACATTATAAAATCATAATTCATTGTTAATTTTATCAAAGCGCTTCGATCAAAACTAACGAGGGAATTTAGTGTTTCCTTAGAGCCAGAAACACGATATGTTTCACAATATTCTAGTAGTTTTAATCAGACTTTTTTCTCATTGTACATAATATACTTAATATTCTCATTGTACATTATTGTACATTGTACATATAATGTGTAAAGTAGTTAAAATAACCTTTTTGATTAAATTCTGAAGCCTGTATTATGAGAGCAGTTTTATTAAAAAAAAGGAGAACTACATTTAATTTTTTTTAAATTTTCATTATTTCATTCACACTAGATATCAAATGAAATGAAAAAAAATAGGAGATAAATTATTTTAAACAGATTTCGTTAGAGATGAAAAAATGATAAAATTACGTTAAATAGACTAAAATCTATCAATGAAATTATGCATGAGATTTAAGCATAGATCAGATTAAGTTTTAGTTTTGAATCTATGAAATAGATTTATTTATAACTCTGCTTTATATATTTACTAATTCCTCAAATTTTATGCAAGTTGTTTTAGGTTAATTATTTCTTCGCTCTTTTCATATGTTGAAAATAGAAAATAAAATGCCTGTGAAAAATTATTTTGTTTAATGTAGTGAAAGAGTTTTAGAAGCAAATAACTAAAATAAATTTTAAAAATTATGTACTTAGAATTAAAATGATATATGTTTATTATGCTACCTTTGGTGAAATATAATTTAATAGCAGATTACTTTGTTATGATTCTGAAATAAAACTTTCCCCGAAATATGAATGAGACATATTATAGACATAATTGTTTATATTAAATATTATTTAACTTTATTTTTGATTATTCTAAACTGTTTGAAAACAATAATATTACATTTATTCATGATTCTATTATTTATTTTACCTTTATTTATTCTATTTGATCAAATACTATTTGACTATTAACCCAATATTAATAATTATTTTTTGGTTATATTCATTATTTTTCGAATTAAGCAGTTTTGTTTGTGTTGCTAACACTATTTTTTATTAACATTATTTAATAATATTTTCTGTCATAATCTTTAATTAAATTTTATTCTATAAATACACGAAAATATTTTTTTGCATCTTGTATAATTATATTTGTAATTGCTTTTTTTTCTCGTTGATTTGGATTTCTGATTACCATTCAAATTTCATGAAAATCACGCAAAGTAAAATAATAAATGTAATTAAAATGTTTTATAATTAAAGAGAAAAATTTTGAATGTTCCAACTCACGTTTTTTTTCCAAAGAACAATTATCATACAATTATATTCAATTAGTTTAGAAATGAAGAAAACTTCAGAATCTTTTGTATTTATGGATCTCTTCTCCGAACTTGACAAAGACTTTTGATTGGACTAAAAGCGCCGCTTGTCGGGTCACGTGGCTCTCTTCTGGCTTCAGAGATTGCCATCATTTTTTGCATCCTTACACATGGTACTTTCCTCCGTTGAGGATTGGAGTAGGTCTACTTGAGGCAACTAGTTGATGTTCGTAAACTCTTCTCAAATGTAAACTATTCATTCTGATTGTGAAAAACAAATTTGAGAAATCCTACAAAATATTTTTGTTCATATAATTTCGTATCAAAGAAAATGTTCGTTTTTTTGCCAGATATTGTGCAAATATATTGGATTTGCAAATGATTTCGAGTTTTGGACATTTAGGTGTTGAAAGATGTTTAATTTTTGAATATTGAAGATCAATTTATTGATGCTGCAAATATTTGGTGCATTTCAGAAAAATATGTGTTGCTCAAACCATCTGAAAGTAGGATTGCATTTTTTACAATAATTTTAAGTTAATTTTTTCCGCTATGCAAACGATTTATCTAGTCAATTGTTATTTTTTAACTCTATTTCATTGCTTTTAAAATAATAAATTATGAAAATATTTATTTCTAAACAAACTATTTTTGGTTGCTTTTAAATAATCTAAACTCTTCTTTTCATGCATTACATAAATAAATTATTATTATTTTTAATGCCTGTTTTCTAAACAACTCATAATACAAATAATGAATTATGACGTTGTTCTTTATAAATTGAGTAGATTTCTAAAAAAGTCCTTTTTAAACTAATCATCAATTACTTGTTTTATTTAATTTAAGATAAATAATTTAGTTAATAAGTTATAACTAAACGAGTTCATAGTTAGAGAGCACATTTAAAAATGTGAAACATGTAATTTTATTATATATGTGCGCAGTTTTTAAATGTTTATACTACAGCACATTATTTTCACTGATTAGTAATAGCATAATAATATTTTAATATACTATAGTAGTATAGATAGTGTATTTTATATAGTATTCTCAAATTTTATGCCTATTAGGAAAATTTAATAAATTCTTGCACTATGTATTTTGTACATTTAATTAATTATAAAATTTAAATCTTTGATTGTATGCATAGTTTAAATTTATTTTAAAATAGATTGTGTCTTGTAATATTTATATATTTCTATTTTCATCTAAACTAAAAAGTTTGCCACAGGGCTCATATTAGCTATAAAAATCGGGTAAGACGGATTAAAAATTCTTTCTTTGCTGTAAAAAGGATAAAATATTTGCATTAGAACTTCTACTAATTAGTTGAAAATAATATAATTATACTATCTCTGATAGTTTTTTTAAAGCCGCTACACACGTACCTAATATATTTTCATAGTAGTACCATATATCAATATAGTTAATGAATCTTAACTAATATCATATTTTCCATGAAGGAAAAATAGCAAAGAAGTGTGTCAGTTTTATCCATGTATTACTACTTATTCTTTTGAAATATGTTTTTCGCTTTTAAATATTTAAAAAATAACTATATCACTGTATATTATCATATCTTGTCAGAAAATTTATTTTATCTCCGAAATGCAATTTTGGAATAGAATGATATAAATCTTTCAAACTGTTTTGTTCAATAACATGACAAAATATCTTTTTCGATTAACTTCAGCGGAAATGTATTTTTTTCCTAAAAATGGGAAATGGATCTATCATTCTTAAAGAATTGCTATTCTTTTTGGTACTGAAACACCTGCTTTTGATTCGAAAGAACTTAAACGATTACTTTTTCTAAATCCTCCTATATATTTATTTGTCTGCGCTTTAGTATTCTCAAAAGAGAGTTGGTGCTGTTTCTGAGCTTAATACAATTTTATTTCAAAAAATTTGATATATGGAAAAATAATAGTTAATTAATTTTATTTATATATAGATTTCCTGATAATAACGTAGATTAAATTATACAATAGTGTAATTAATATAAGTATTTAGTGTTCAGATAGAGGAAGAAGGATTTTTTTTAAAGTTTTCCGACGTGTGTTTACAAAATATTTATAAATACTAAAAACAAAATATTTATTTATTTATACTGAGCAATAAAAGTGAATAGATGGTAAATGTAGCTTGTTTTTTTTATTAGGGAACAAAGAACTTTTTTTACTGATTCTGAGAAACAAATGAAAAAATTTATTCATATTCATAAGTAAATAAAATTTATAATAGCAATATCAATAACAATATATTACTATAATAAAATTGAATAAATAAGTATTATATAGATATATTAAAAGTAGTTTTCTCTAATTTTTAATAATATAATTCTTTGTTAGTTTTGATGAATAGAATAATTCTTCTCGTACATTCGTAAGTTTAGCATACTGAATAGATTTTAAATTATATTTTATTTATTATTTTACTTAAAATATTATTATATGAAAAATTAAGAAGGTATTAAATTAGTTTCTTAAAGTAATAAATCAATCGAATTTGCATATCGTTTTACCAAAACATTTTAATTTTCGTTTGCATTGAAGATTGAACAAAAGACAAGTTATCAATCAACGATTTTTTATTAAAAAATCACTATATGACCACAAAATATTAAATCTGAATCATATTAAATATTAGAAAATAATTAGGCTTTATTACAGTTGAATCACGATAAACAAAAACTTATCTTACCTTGCACAAACTAATTTTTTTGGATTCTGGTTTTCTCTCTTGAATTTGTGGTTACACGAGAGAAAAGAGACACATTAAATGGATCCTAACAAAACACTGTAATCAAGTTGCCAAAAAGAAATTTTAATGATTTAGTAGATAAAATATGCACATTTTCGGATGGTTCACATACTGGTCTTGTCAGCGGGCTATCGAAATAGTCAAAGTCACAAACAGGCCATGAAAAGACAACATACGTGGCGTATGCTACACGCGCCATGGCACAGTGATATTAACTCTATAGGCAAACCGCCATCAATCCATGATGAAACAGATCAGGAAGATTCGTTATCTGAAAAGCAAGATATGGAGTTGGATGATATTGAGCGAGGCCCAAAGCGAATCTTTAAACATCTACATGGCCGAAGAGAACCTCGTGGCAGGCTGGACATGCCACGGCTTAGCCTGTTAGGCAAACCTTTAAATTATAGGCCTCCTCGCCATAGAGATCCAAGATACAGAAAAGCTCAATTGGTAGTCCACAATATCTTGGATAGGCCAAGAGGTGTAATAGCAGTAATTTACCACATGATGATGTAAGTAAATTACCTTTTATTTTTAATTTTCATTTGAGTGTTTTAACAAATCTGATAAACTTAACAAAAACTATATTGATATTAATTTTGAATTTTTTGAAAACTGTTATTTTACAGTATATGATACAAAAAAAATTGTATTCAAAATGCATGGAATTAACCCTTGCATTATTTCGCTCTCAATGGCTACCATATGTTCGACTAAAAAATTTAATAACATAATTAATGGACAACACAGTATGAAACAATTTAATGCTCTAATTTGTATGACATTTCATCAGATTTACAATGCATGGAATTTTTTATGAGCTAGAAGTTAATAACTAAATTTGAAAGAATATCCAATATCTAGATATATGGTGGGTATATTGGATTTATCCAGTATACATATAATATATCCATATCCAATTTTCGATCACAGAAACATAAAATTACACTTCGATTAATATTATTCTATGTATTTTATTGTTTGAGTATCCTTCCAGTGACTTTTATAACTATAATTTTTGTAAAAATTATTTTGAAGCAAAATTACGAAAATATTTTGTGTCCCCATTTTGACGAAAAGAACTCTATAACGCTCAGGCTTATTTTATAAATAAGATAATTCACAATTATTCTATAATAAGTGCCCTTCCTTCAGACTTATCTTTAGAATTCTTAAAAAAAATTATGAACATCAAAATTAAAAAGAGAAAAAAATTTAAATAGAAATAAGTTACAAAACATATTCAAAGTCTGGCGAAACATTACCAAGATAGATATCAGTTAAAAGAATTCAAAAAAATAGTCAAGAACCAGTTTGTTTATCAAGTGAGACGTCTTTGTTTTTCTTAAGAATCGCCATCGATTCTGTGTAGTATTATTTACGGATTGTTTAATGTAATACAATGTACTTTCTGTAATCATTGTAGTATAGTATATTTTTTGTTCATAGCCCTGTTCTTTGCTATTTCCCCGTTCCCTTTCTTTAAATAAGATTAAAATAAATAATATTCTTAAAATGAGACAAATTTTTAAAAAAACACTTTCAGTCGTCTTTTATAGCCCATCTTATGCGACATTGTCTTATATTGTTCAAATGTCATGCCTTTGATGCATACTTTTTTGCAACTATTTGAAATTACTATGATTACTATTTATATTTTTACCTCCATATTACTTAAAAATGACTATTAAATTATCTCAAAATCAATGAACTTATTCAAATTGCATTATTTTATATAATTATTTGAAATTATTCCCCTAAACTTTTAGACATAATATATCATTGTGTGTACGTTATTGATAGGAATTATTAAACATATGATCTAGAATTTTTATGGTAATTACTTACATTTTGCTAATGATGACTCGAATAACAATATAATTTTAATGTTTAAATTTTTAAGAATGCAAATTTTACCAAAGCTAATCTGGAGAAAGCAGCGTTACATTTCACGTTAGTTATTAACCTTTGATTCAGAATTTTTATTAAACATATTTTGCATACTTTTCATATTATTTTGTATTAATGCAGGTTGAAATAATTTAAAAGTATTACATTTAGCCTTATAATAATTCATTGTTATGAAATATGGCAAAAGTCATTGGCGTCCTTTTCTGAGTTAAAGGAAAAATCTTTCAAAAATGGCACACTTCCAAACATTAATTTTTCAAAATTGCAGTTACTTAGATCTAAGAGAAAAATTTAATCATTATTAAAATGCCTTTAATTTACAAAGTCATTTATAGATAAATTTTTGAATGTGAATAAAAAAAACATTTAAATTACTTTTTTCAGGTTTTATATTTTTGTACAAATATAATTGCGGGAATCTAACTATTAGTAACTATTAGACCTAATTAAAAAATACCAATATACTTTTTGCTTCTTTTTTAAAATACATATATAGTAAATATATAAAATTATATATTGGAAACCAGTTTCCTATCTACTTCAAAGGGTCATGGGCATTAGTTCTGAGGGTTTTAATAGATGAAAAATTTAACAAAATTAAAAACAAAGTGTTTGGAAATACAACATATAATTATTAGAAACAGTAAATTGACGAAACATTAAGAAAAAGAATTTGAAAGTGTTAAAGATATGTTTCATAACAGTACATATTATTATTATTATTTAAATGAGTACAATTTCAGATTCTTAATATTAATGTTATTATTATTTTTTTTTTCGTATTCAATATAAATCGCTTACTTGCTTTAAAGTCTTTGTAGTTTTTCGTAATAAAAATTTTTATAACCGCAATCATTACTGCGTAAATTTTTTTATCTTTTCACAGTACAGTTTCTGAAGTATATTTTAAAATCTTAAACTAAAAAAAACAATGTTAAAAAAGCTTGAGTTTGAACTGAATCATAAATATGTTGTGCAATTTCGGTTCCAAAGCTTTTAAAGACTATAATTAGGAGAAAAATAAAACTCAAATTTTAGAGCACCTATTAAGTTTCGCTACAATATTAAATGTTGTAAATTGCGCATTAAATTATCATTATTTAATGCCGAAATATTTTAATTCTAGCCCATGATCATGGAAACATTCGATCTTGCTTCTAAATGAGCAAATATTCCTACATTACAATTAAAAAAGAGTTTTTCTTTTTCCTTTAAACTTGTGATAAAAAGTACATTTACTTAAATTGCGAAGTTAATTAGGTGGTGTTTTTTTCTTTTACTACTTTCTTAATTTACCTAAATTATTATAATAAATTAGTGTTTTTCTATTTAAAAAGTTCTGCTCATTCTTTTATTTTAATTTTGCACCTATTATAATGTTATTTTTATATGAATTGCAATGTAAGGAATATGAAACATTTAGTCTTAGTTAAAAAATTCTCGTTATAAATTTTTTTAATTGTAAAATCTGTCCAAATATTTTTATTTAATTTAAATTTAGGAAATACATGAAACCTTGTTTCAAAATCCTGATTTTAAAGACTTGGTTATTATTTAATTTTAAATGTTATGTATAAAAAATTATTATTATCAATAATATACTACACTGTAATGCTAATGAATTTTTTGACTTTTTACATATTATATGAAAAAACATTTATTATTTTTCATCTATAATAACACTTTTTTTTTTATTTTAAAGTTTATAAGGTAAAAAAAATTAATAACAATTAAAATGTTTGCTTCTGAATCTAAATGTAAGCTTCTGATAGTTAAAAATTAAAGCATGATTGTTGATTTTGTTAAAAGGTAATACTTTAATAAATAGTTATTATTTACAATAAACTATATATTATTTTGCTGAATTCTTTCTAATCACCTATGCACATTACATTACACTTTTAATTGTTTATGTTTTAAATATTCAAAGTTATTTACTTTAAAGCTATAAAGTTAAATTTTGTGTCATAAATAATCCCTAAATTTCTAGATTTATATATATTGTGCCCTTTTTATGTTTTTGAAGATTCAATTTTATATTTTAATGATAAGTAAGCAATAAATTCATTTATAAAATATGATTATCAATGTATATGTATAGAAACAAAGAAAAAAATAAATGATTTTTTAAAAGATCTAAAATATAATAATTTAGTTTTTGTTAGCAATTAGTTTAGATATTAAAATTGCAAAAATGAACTAAATAAAATTAATATTTTTTAAGAAATAAATAGTTTAACATTAAAAATTAATTAGATTTGAGACAAAGATCTATTTTAAAAATGACCAGGAATTTTGTAGAGAGTACATAAGAAATTTAAAAATATAATATTTATACCGTGAATTTACTTATATTTTTAATAATTTCTATGAGTCCAAAAAATTATTATTTCTTACTTCTAAGTATTATTACCTAATTGTTACAAATTCTCATGATTTTTTTGCAGATAATAGTGTTTTGTTTTAATAAAATTTATCAAACCAGTAACAGAACATCCGTATTAATCAGCAATTAAATAGAAAAATTCTAAGATTTATCTGTATAGCGCAGGATAAAATATTTGTATTCAAAAGCTGTTCTCGGTAGATTTGAAAATTTTAAAGTGTTAGAATTTCTAATGCTAAAATGCGTGATAAACTGACTACAAGAACTGGAATTTTACTAGAGAAGATGAAAATTTAAAGTTTTAAGTAACATTTTTTTTAAAGCTTAACTTATTTCTGTCTGTATTTTTGGTTGCTGATTAATATATTTTTGTCTGCAAGAGTAAAATAAATCTTTGGTGACCACCGTTGTACTGCACTTGTTCTGTATCTGGGATTATAAGTATTCATTGTTGTAAATATTCAAGTATTAAATTGCTCAGTTTTTTTAACTATAAAACTTGTGCACAAATAAAAATTTAACATTAATATATTTTGATGTAATGATTACTCACTTAAGATGTCATTTTTAAGTAAATAACCCCTAAAGTATATCAAGTAATTTATTTTTCCGAAGAATTTAAAATTACACAATAAATTAAGCCAAAAGAAAATGCTTGGACATTTAAAAATTCTGATTCCATTAATTCTGCCCTATCTGTTAAATGAAAATAGCCATACAAACCGTTAGAAAAGACTTAAAGTAATAAATTTTAAGAGCGTAAGTGATGAAAAAGTATGACATTAAAGAGTGATGATAGTGAGATATCGTTAATGTCTGCTATAAATCCATATTAAAAAAGTCACGGAGTCGTTAGGCATCTTTAAATCTATTTAGCGAAATGCGCTATTTTTGATAAAAATTCGAGTTTCGCCTTTCGGTAAACTATGCGCTCTTGCTTAACATGCTCGGCTGCTTAAAACTGTTTTACTTTGCATTAAAGTTTAGGAAAATACTATATTTACATTTTCAACGAAAAATTTATGGAAAATAGCTTGTAAAGTTTGGCCTAGTATCAAATTATTGCTCTAAATTATTTTGTTACCTAAATTTATCTTTATATGCTGAGTAACGATTATGCTTAAAAAATATTGGAAACGATTTTTCCCCAAGCAATGTTATAAATTGTGTATTTCCGGAATCGTGTCCTCAATTTTAATGTTAAGTATACGAAAA